TGCATTGTTTTAATTTTAGTCGTGAACCTAGACATCTAGTTTTAATATAGCTCCCCTGTACACTGCATTTTTGTTCGTTATTAAATTATTATTCTTATAAGCAATGCTGGAACTAGCATTTTTTAACGCTAGTCAAGAAGATTAACGAAACAAAAATAAGTTTAAAACTTTTAACTAGGTCTCTTTTTATCCTAAATGCAACCTGATTAAAAACACATTTTCAAAAATTACGTTTTTTTTAAAAAAAAATATTTGTTTAAATTATATCATTATTCTCTCTTTAAAACGTTCTCAGGATGGATTATTAAGCATTTTTACAAATTTTTATTATTAGTCTAAAAGGGTTATTAGTCTCGAAATGGGATTTTGCGTCGAACCACTATAAATGCGTCGTTTAATTTTTCATTTGAGTCTGTTCTCATTCGGTAAAACGTACCTTTCAAATTGAATCTGCCTATTATGGATTAACAAACTAAGCTATCTGAAAGCAATAGATACTGTTTTTAAGACTATTCTTTTCTTACTTTCAATTGGATTGCTTTAAATACTAAAAATGCATTTAATTCAAATTTAATTTATCTATATTTAGAAAGGTGAATATTTTCGTAGACTGACGTTGCACATTTTTTAGCCCAAAAGGCATTTGCCCGTATGGGTTATTAGTCTCGAAACGAGTTACTATAAGCGGCGATTCACTTTTCAAATTTTTTGTTAGTTATTTCATATTTTGTAAAGATTTACAGAACTTTTTATTAACAAACTCAAAGACAGGAAAGCGAGCAGTGGCAATATTGTCCGTAATAAAACATTTTCGTCTCCAGTGCGAGAGTCTACCTATCGGAAATTCTAAAAATATGCTGTTTTTAAATATTTTGTGATTATGCTGTTGAAATGAATTTTATGTGGCGTTATTTCGAAGAACGTGAATTTTATGTGGCTTTATTTCGTCTAGTGACTTTAAATAAATTTAATAAATAACTTAACACACGAAATGTTAATAACAAAAAGACGAAAAAATATTTTTGTCATCTTGATAACGAATTTGACATTTGGATCACGGAAACTGACTCACGAATTCTAAACATATACTGCTATGCTGCTAAACCAATGCCCTAGTAATAAAGCTAAAAAGACAAAAAACATTGGGTTAGCAAGATTGAGTGCAACAACAGTCTGGAAAACTGCGAGCTCAGTTGAAGGAGTAAAAAACCTTAACAAACACCTTTCGGACAACCATTAAAAATTGAAACATTTCAGATTTGGTTTTAATTTTTATTTTTAAATTAGTTTAACACTTTAAGGTACTTATTTGCAGTATAACGTGAAAATGTACACATGCATTTGTGAAAAGAATAAAATACAGCGTCATTATTACAGGATTAATTTAAGGAACAAATCAAGAACAACAGGTAAGACAAAACCTTCTGAAATTTACCGCACATTCAGAAATGGACCGCAGCAGTCTGACTTTTAATTTCTTAATTCAACTGATTCAAAGTGAGGTAAGATATAATTTGATAATTTTGAGATATTCCATGCAATTAAAGGAGCTATTACTGAACGCTACTAAAGTAAGATGAGATCATCGTGCATCTCACAGCAGTTTAAAATTTAAATCATTTTATGTGTAGAGTAGATTTTGGGGAAATATTTGTATAATTTGGGTATTTTTCCCCGCATAAAGAAATAGAAGCTCTTGGTATAGCTTAGTTTCAAGCTATAATGCATTATACCAAATACGCATTGTATATTATTGAGACTAAATTTAAGTCTTGAGTCTAACTATTTGAGACTAAATTTCATTCAATATTCAAAGAAAAAAACTGGATTTCTGCTATTTGTAAATATTATACAAAATTTGCAAAAAGATAGACAAAATATATGTAAAATGAAATAATAAAGTAATAGTGATCTTTCTGGAATTTTCTTCTTCCAATTTAAGCGCTGCGAAGAACAAAAAAGCTTCAATGCGTTCTTAGAAACATTCAATAATCCTTGAAACAATGAGGAACAACTACAGTGGACAGATTTCGCTCACGGTACCGTTACTCAGTTACCTGCTACTATTAAGAGATTTAAACAAGCAGGCATCACAATGTTTCCTATCCTGATTTGAAAGCTGTTCAATACGTGGATTTAAGTTCGAATAATTTTGGCGTTGCACTTAATCTCGCTCAATCATATTAATATATACGTATTATAGTATCGAAAACAGTTTTTCGTTAATGTAATAAGTTACTTAAATTAACATCTTTAATTCTGAAACAAATTCGTTACATGCTTTTTGAAATTGCAGTGATGATTACGGTATAATTATTAGCACCCATTTATAAGTAACACCCGCGTTTTAAATCGTGGAAATCTTACTTGTTGAAGGTAGTCTATTTTGAATGTAACACCTTTCTTAAATTTTACGCATTTTATCTTTAAAAAGAATCATTTCATTCCTATGTTTTAAAAATTGGTGTTTTAAAAAATATTAAATCCCTGATATTTACGATATTGCTAAATAAAATATTTCAGTGTAGTTTTATAAACTCGTTTTTTCTTCGCAAATTATGCAAACAGTTTTGTAAATTCAAACCAAATCGTATTTACTTCCATATTGCATAAAATAATATTACTTCCCTTCATGCTCAGAGTAAAAAAGAACAGACTACTTGTATTACTCGTTATTTTGTCTAAACGAGTAAATTCAAACAGCAATAATAGTGTTCTCCTTTAAACAATCTACAAATGTTTAGTAAATAGCATAAGCATAAAATTATTAGCACAACAACCTTGAGTTTGGCGTAGATTTAAGTTAGATAGAATATGCTTTTCTAGAATAGAAGATGCTTTTCTCTCACTTTTCGTAGCAATACACAGAATGAATTTTCAATCGATTTCGAGGGCGTACAGATACAGGTCACTCTTCATCAGTAGCAAAGAAATCTGCAAGAAATAGTCGCTTGAATTTAAATTTCCATATTTATTGCACTATATTGACGTACATGTGTCGGAAAGCAAATCAAGCTTTCAGTAAATTAGGTAATACTGTGGATTGCCTTGTTTTGCTTTCGATTCTGATATGCAACTGAACCACTATAGAAAATTAGATGAGTTTCGAGAAGCTATCAGATGTTAAATGTCAAAAATGACACAGAGAATAAAATAATTTATTTCTGGACTAGATTGTTAAGAAAGTAATTTTACACTGATCTAAAATTAAAAAGTAATCCAATGTCACGGCCTCTGGTGGAAAAAGATTCATATAAGATATTGTGAAATATAAAATTCCAAGAAAGCAATATCTCAGAAAATTAGTATTTTTAAAGCGGAAAAAATTAATGGTACTCAACTATTTGTCTGCTTTCTTACTTAGCGTACAGTTAAAATGGGAATTTATCATTTTGCTACATAAAATAGTATATAACAGTTGTTTTGCCCAGCGGAAAAGAAAAAAACATATTTCATATGTAATTCTTTTCAATATTATTGAAAGGCCACACCAAGCCATTGAAAATAAATTGCAGAAATTAAATTGTAAAATTGGAATTTAGATTTGAAAACAGATATTCCCGCAACGAGGACTTTGCGACAACAAGGTTGGAATAGTAGATGCTTTTCTCTCACTTTTCGTAGCAATACACAGAATGAATTTTCAAACTATAGATTTCTTTAATTTTATAACTTTGTATGCTTTAAATCAGGATAGAATATATTAAGCACTATTTAAAATTATAATGCCTAGTTTTTCGCTTTATAAAAATACAAAAATCTCTTTACTCTTTCATACCGTATTTATTTTTTGGAACTCAAGCTATAATAAAACTATTATGAGGCAAAGACTTAAAAATGAATTTTTTTTAATGTTGTTCTTTCTAAAAGGTTCAGATAAATATTTTCATGATTAATTATAATTTTTGAACTTCTAGCACAAGTTCAAAAATTCAAATAAAATGAAAACTGAGAAAAAAATTACCGTAACATGTTCTCCGACGTTGAAAAAGGTTTGATTCTTTACACGTTTGTTATATAATTTAACTTGAAACAAAAACGCAATACTGCATCCAAAACGAAGTTACACGCAAACTCCAGACTTGATTAAACTGATCTTGAGAGTGCGGTCTTTGAAAGAATTCAGAGTGTCTGAAGTTCTGAACTGTTCTCTGCATTAAAAACTTCAAAATTCCTAACTGCAGAAAACAATTTATAAGAGCATTAAGCATAAAACACTCATCTATTTTTTTTTTAAAAACTCGTGTTTAATTAGAAAGAACCGAAATTATACAAAATTAGATTTGAAATGTTTCAGATTGTATTTATCAATCGCATGCGTTCGATTCTTAATCATGGGATATTAATTCTTTATTAAATTCAAACGGAAAATTTTACTTTTCATCTGATAATAAAACAATCAGCAACGTTTTCACAATAGTCTTAAATTTTGTTAAAATGAAACTAAATCTTAATTACATATTAGGATGAATGGAATAACTTTTCGAAGTATCCGAACACTTCAGAGCGGCGAAATTTAATTCAGTTTATTGCTTAAATATTCTCAAGCTTTTTCCCAGACAGTATTTGTCAAAATTAAATATCTTCTTTTTAAAATAGATGATCACTTACGATCTATTTAGTTTAAATACAACAATATAAAATACTTCATAAATTTAAAAGTTGGAAAAGTAATTGCCTATTTTTACAACCAAGATTTAATACAGAATTCAATCTTGAAAATTCTTCTGAATAACTGGAATTTAACACTGGGAATATTCATCTTTAAGAAGATCCGAATGTAGTTCGTTGTCTTTTTATTCAGTTTTAACAATATTTCACCAATTTAAAAAATTTTCTGGTTTTAGACCCAAATGAATAGAACGAGCTGAATCTTAATCAAAATCAGTTGAGCTGAACATTGATGTTCGTAAACTCTAACAACTTGCACTTCACTTGTGATCAATAACTTCAGGGTTAAATTACGAATATAATAAGAATAATTCAGAATTTCAACTCACGTGCGGAGGCAGCAGAACACAGGAGCAGGACGATATGCCACGCGCTCAGTCCACGGCACTCCATGGGAAAAGGAATAAAGAATAACAAAACAGGAAAAAAAATCCCTGCTTCCTAAAAGTCCTCCAATTTATCTTCTTTAAAACAAGAGCACGCGCGGAAGAGGTGGGAAGCTCTTCCTTTTCTCTGTGTACCTTTGTTCTTCTCTTCTGTCTCACTGGTTCTTCTCTCACTCTTCTGACATGCCCGAAAGCTTCGAGGGCATATTTATAGACGCAGTGACGTCAGGTAGTTTGATGAGAACAGCGCTCTCTCGCGGTCGCACGAAGTAACTGGGTTTAGATAGAATCTCTGTCAACGGATAGGGGTCAATTTCAAAAGAAGTATTTCATTGAGAGATTTCTGGTTTACTTGACACTTCAGCTCTTCTCAACTTTGGTTTAAAACTGGCAGATTGAAGAAAGCTGTACTAATGCTACTGAGAACCAATTCAAAAATTCGAATTTCATTATTATTAAAATTATGTTTTGGATTTTTCCAACAATTTAAATTAATCAGATTTTATAGGAAGGTATCCTTCATATTTTTACCGCCTTCTACTGTACACGAACAAGTGTTTTAAGAAAGCAACAGGAAAATTTATTAGTATGTTTCCGTATGAATTAAATTATAAAAAAAACATGTTTTACTCTTTCTTATTGTTATCTTCTATGTTTTCTGTAAAGTTTAACTTACGTTTACCAGTTGGGCAACTGTAAAGCAAAATCACACTCTCATTATGAAAGCAGGTAATTCGACAATCCCTCAAAAATTCAGGAATGATCAACTATGAAACCGAAATACGCGCAAAGTGTAGCATTTTGTAATCACCCGAAAATTCTCAAACATAGCGCCCACTATATTTGTAGCCAAAGATCCGAAACACAAAGTACCTTTGCAGTTTGAAGCATTCTGTAATCAAAAGATATAACATGTCTCATTGCAAAATTGCGCATGTCAAGAATATATTTACCATCATAGTACGGCAATTTTGCTAAAGAAGAGTGGTGGTGATAAGAATCATCAGCCACCACCCGTTTTTTGTTCGGGCGCCACTGTAGAGTGATTAGGTACTTTTGGAAGCAGGAATTATGAAAAATGAGTAATGCCCTCGACGGGATTCGAACCACGGATCTCTCGAATACGCCTCGAGCGTGCTGACGACGACACCGCAAAGGCATGCTAAGAAAGCGGGAGAAACATCTTATATACTTCCCCTTTTAAAGGGCGACTGGGTTTTAGGGGACCCAATAGCCAAATCCTGGTGGTGAAGAATCATCATCCAGCACCTTTTGTTTATAGTTCGGGCGCCACTGGAGAGACATTAGGTTATTTCGAAGCAGCAGAGATGAAAAATGAGCAACGCCTTCGCCGGGACTCGAACCACGGGCCTCTCGAATACGCGCCGAGCGTGCTGACCACTACACTACGAAGTCGTGCTAAGATGGCGGAGGAAATACCTTATACCCCTACTTCAACCTCTTGAAAATACTTCCAGCTCGCCATATAAACTGCTCAAAGCAATTAAAGGATATTGTAAGTTTTACATTAAATAAAGATATAAGGAAAATTTGTTTTGCCGAAAATGGAAGAAGAAAATCACAAATGCAAATTTTTCTGATTTTCAAACTGTGGAGTATGCTAATTTTGAGTTCGACGTCAAAAACGTCTCTTCAGCGGCAGCGAATGAAATTTGACTTCTGAACAAAAGACAAAATTTGACAACTGAACAAAAGACAATGAAGACAAGGATGATCGCCATTCAGTGACTGCTTTGCTTTCGATGAGTACGATGTCTGAGCCAAGTCAATTTAACCGAATTCAGAAGCTTGGAGAGTTGTTGGTAGTTTAGAAGGGGGCCAAACTCAAGTCCGAAGTAGCGTAAGCCATTGGAGTGTCACAAAGTGTGATTTCCAGGCTCTGGAACCGTTTTTTGGAAACTGGAAGTGCAGGCCGAAGACCAGGGCAAGGTCGTAGACGGGCAACAACGCGCAGGGAAGATCGCTATTTAGTGTTAACGGCTCGGAGACACCAAAATATGAATGCTACTCTTCTCCAACAACACCTTCGCTCGGCTACTGGCACCACGGTTTCAACTCAGACTGTCCGAAACTGCCTCCATGGTGTAGGCCTGTATGCTTGCCGATCGATGGTATGTGTTAGACTAACATCAAGGCATCGTCGCGACCGCAGGGAGTGGGCAACAGAGCATGTGAACTGGAGGAGAAATGAACGGAGCAATGTTCTTTTTCTGACGAGTCCCGTTTTTCTGTTCATCCTGATAGTAGGCGTATTTTCATCTGGAGGGACCGTGGCAGTAGGAATAATCCTGCGTTCGTGCACGAAAGTGTCAGATTTGGCGGTGGGGGAGTGTTGGTGTCATCTCCATTGACGGGCGCACAGACCTCTACATCATTTGAGATGGACCTCTGATTGGTCGCCGATATAGGGATGAGATCCTCAGACCTATTGTAGTCCCTTACGCTGCGACAATCGGAGATGACTTCATTTTAATGGACTATAACTGCAGGCCACATCGTCCTAACCTGGTGGAGGATTTCCTTTTCGAGGAAGGAATCGTACGAATGGAATGGCCAGCGTGTTCTCCAGACATGAATCCAATAGAGCACGTTTGGGATGCTCTAGGAAGACGAGTTGCTGGCCGCCAAACACCCCCACAAACTCACCAAAAACTGGAAAGAGCTCTTCTGGAAACGTGGGACAGAATACCCCAACTCGTGATTAAAAGCCTCATTGACTCCATGCCTCAAAGGTATTCAACGTTGCTGGCCGTCCGTGGAAACCATACCCCCTACTGAAATAGATTTCCTTTGAAGAAAACACCCTTTCTTATTCTTTTTTTCTCATATGCACAAATTGTATTTTTTTTTCTTTTTGTACACAAATGCGCAATAAAATGCATTTTTTTCTGCCAAACATGTATAATTTATTCTCATATAACCTACTACATCTGTCGACAATGTATCATGAGGGCAATCTAAATACACTGCTCAAAACAATTAAAGGATATTGCAATTTTAGGTGGATCTTGCAGCTAAAAAGTTTCCCAGCTGCAAGATCCTTTAATTGTTTTGAGCAGTGTATTTAGATTGCCCTCATGCCGCACTGACATTCTACATTTACAAATATCCATGCTTTCTCCGGGATTCGAACCAAGGCTTTTCGGTACGGCAATTAGCATCGCTAACCACTATCCAGGTTGGGCAGTTTAAAAATATTTCACATTATAATGGGCTGTGTCAACCACTTAGACACGAGAATATACACGGAGGGATATGATAGTTTGTATATTCTCAGTTTCGTACATTCTCTCACGCTTAAAATTGACTGAAGAAAGGTGTGACACTCAATTAATTAAATCGTATTAGCGATAAGTTATTGTAGCACAAAACTTTGTTCGGGAGCCACTGTAAAAATTATTAATTTTTTTCAAAGGCAAGGAAAGGTACAAATCAACAACTGTTTCACCAGGATTCGAATCATGAATGGTCTGTGTGTTAGGGGAATGTATTTACATTTTATACCTTATACAACCCATGCGGAGGGAAAGCGGTAATTCACAACTCTTTCACAACGTCAGGTTTAAAGACCGTTAAAAATTTTAATAATCTTCATCCATTTGCTGTTATACTACTTTTTCCTTTGCACAATCACCATCAACAAAGCTATAAACATGTCGTCAGTGTCAACAAAACAATACATTTGTTTTAACTGATATTTCAGCCTTCACGCTTACTACGCTTTTATGATATATAACACATGGCCACGTTCTAAACTCCATTTGAAGCTAAAGGAATAAAAAAAAAAATCTTGAACGAGGCATGGTTAGTTAAACTAAACTTGTCAATTTTTTGTTGAGTAAACTGTATATAAAGCCTTAAAATATTTGGTTTTCTAAAACGCTCTGGCCGACTCAAATCAACGTGCCTATAATTTTCTTCTCCTTCCTTCAAAACAATTCATGTAGCACATAAGGCTTGTTGTTGTTGTCACCATTCTCCCTTGTCTAACAACGGTCAGCACAAGCCCACGACATTCATGATGGCAAGGAGTCAAATGCGCCTATCATCGGCAAAAGTATTGAACATCTTGGTTTATTACTACAAAACATTTGTCCATGGCCAAAACTCAGATGCTCTCTCTCCAGCCTTTTATAGCTTTCAACCGATCGCGAGATTTTTCTCTCGAGATAGTTTTTTCTCGGATTTTCTGGAAAGTTTTCTCGTTTTCTCGAGATTTCTGGAAAGCAATAAGAGGATGGAATCACTGCTGCAGCTAACATAGTGGTTAATTAAACTTTATTCAATTTCAATATAAACTACTGAGACATCCATGACCGAGACAGACTCAATGTTAAATGCATGTGCCCCTAAATAATCTTAGTTTTCCGGCATAGCTTCTTCGAAAAGTTTATCTCGCCTTGCATTGCACGGGGAAATACAAGAAATTGTTTCTTATTTCACGAGGTGCTCGTACAGAGCGGGTTTACATATTTTTTGAAAGATTTCGAAAGAACTGAAGGAAAAGCAAATATTCTAGAATAAACATTTCTGGCACTAGCTTGCTATGTGACATGAGATTATCGCCTACTACATTTAAATTTATTCTTCGTTCAAAATATCGTATGTAAGAAGCTGGGAACTGAAGAATAAATTTTTGCACTTTCCAAAGAGAAACATTCCTATATCATATTTGGGCCCACCAGCGGACGAGCGGTAAAGTCGCTGAACACTGGTAGTTCGCTCCGAGGTTCGAATCCCACGAACGGGCTGGCTGCATGGGTGTTTTAAGTAAGAGCCAGTTTCTCTTAGAAAGTCTTCCACGAAGGCATCCCTCCCCTTACGCAGATAGCCCTAGTGTGCTTTGCCATAATTAAATACACCACCTATATCATATTTTGAAAACGTTTTGAAATGCATCGTATTAAAATTTCAAAGTGCAAAATAAGCTAAGCAGCATTCTTAATCGGAAAGGGAAAAAACGTCAGTAATTACATCTACATGAAACAAGACTTCAAACGAATACCCAAAAAATGTACATACTGTTATTAGAGTTTCTAAAGTTAAATCATTGGCAACAGCAGAAAATCCGCCGGAAGCAAAAATCAATTGTAAAATCCTAAATACATTTGTAGCAATAATACATAAAATGATAAACTAAGA